CTTGCAAAAAAACATTTAAAAATTTCTTAAAGAAATGCTTCGATCAAAAAAAATGTCAATCAAAATTAAAATTTTAGGGTTTGTTCATTTTTTTTTCAAAATTTGAAAACACCGTAAGAAAGATCTAAGCTTTCCCTTTCAAACTCCAAAAAAACGAATTCACAGTCTTAAAAATGGCAGAGTTACCGATTTTTAAAGTGGAAGGTGCAGATTCAAAAATTTTTGAAAAACTCAAACGGCTAAATTTGGGTATAGGGAAAGCTGATGAAAACTCCCTTAAAATGACCCAATTAATCCAAAAACGCAGTAAAAAATATACCTTTCCATTTAAAATAAGAAAGTTGAGACCGACTTCCGGTATAACCGGAAGGGCCGCCATCTTGAAAATATTTTCATTTAGAAGGACTTAATGCATTATGGCTATGTACCAATTTTCAAACAAATATGATTATTCAAACTCCCAATACTTTTAATGTGGGTTTAGACGGAACACCCTGTAGAACCAATAATAATTTTTTGTGACGTTGCGCATTGTGCCACCACCACGGCCGAGAGCTAAAAAATAACCATAGCAACTGTTACTATAGAAATATAAGACTTATCAATGGAAACCTTACATTTCCATAGTAACAATAATAATTTTTTGTGACGTGGCGCATTGTGCCTCCGAAATTGCTGTTTAAGATGTTATCGCTTAATTACGTTGTTTCGAGTTGAACAAAACAAAATTGCTGTCTATTAGGGAGAGTATTAAAGCAGCATCGATTTAATAATGTTTAAGTTGGTATTTTTAAAACAAAAGCCTATTACTGCAATTATGAATGTTCCTCGTGCATCGTAATCGGCTTGTGAACTTTATCAAAATTATGTTGGTAGTACTTAATACGATTAATTTTGTTTAATGAAATTCTTACCCGACAAAAACTGGTGATGGCTGAAATCTGTGAAAAAAACTTTATGAAAAAAAAATTTTTTTTCGTTTGGTGTTTACCCACTTCTTGTATTCGTCGATGAACGCTGACTTTGTGCCATTGATTGTCGTCAAAGCGCACTTTATTGGGCTTTATTTGCATTTCTTGTTTACCGTTTGATAGCCCCATAGTGAGACTAAGACAGCCATCTTTAATTGCGACGTTGAGGTAATCCGTTCCGTCGCCTAGTGATAAAAAAAAATGTCACTAGGAGTGAAAAACTCGGGGAAATACCCACCAGTGTAAAACAACAGTCCGCTAGGTTGGCGCGTTTTAAAATAAAACGTAACGGAATCTTGAGCACTGACGATTGGTTCGCCCCCAGTTTGGCTCAAATCGTACGATAAAAATTCACCACCACGGAAAACCGCCTCCGAGGGGGCTTTATCTGAAATAAGTTTCAATTTGTGGAGTAAATAGGATGAAGAAGAGTTGACCTATTTTGCTAATGAAGCTCACAGATTTACAATAGAATTTTTTTTTGTGGGGGATAAAGTCGCAAAGCTGGGGAAATCGTGTCCACAACTATTTGATAACTCAATTCGGGGAAAGACTGAATATGCTTGTCTTGTCAATTTGTTTGCCAAATCCGGCTTAGAGTATCGAAGATTCGCACGGAAAAGATGGAAAAGCTTTCAGGACTTGGCTGAAAAACCAGTGTGACTTGTAATCGGATTAAACTAATCCGAGGTCAGATTAACACAAAAATAATAAACACAGAGTGAATCATTGCTGAAAATTTCAATAATGACGTATGAGGCCGAAAAAGTACTACTTTACTGACTATTTTAGCTTACTTTTCGGGCCATTTCAGGAAAATTTAATTTTTTGCTTTACTACATCATTGTGAATTTTGCATCCAATAAAATTATATCGAAAAGGGGGTTCCATTATTCCAGAACCGTATTCAAATTTTTTTTGTCAAAAGTTCACATATATACAAATTTTATTCTACATTCTTATTTGTCTTAATAAATGTTTTAAATTAATTTTTTGTTTTTAAATTTCGATTAAAGTTATTGATACTGTTTTGAAAAAAATTGTAAAAAATATGCTTTAAGTTTAAATTTTTTTTAGTACCAATAATAAAAAGTAGAATTTTACACATGTGTAAAGGAGTCTAAAATGAAATAATTATTTGTATAATAACGCACACTTTACGGACGACTTCACTAATAATGACATATGAGTCCGGAAAAGCACTACTTTACAGACTATTTCAGCCAAATTTAATTTTTCGTTTTACTACATCGTTGAATTTTGGTATTTAACGTTTTTATTTTTTAACTTTACAGTAAAAAAAAATGTTATAGAACTAAAGTTTGTACTTTTTTCTTTCAAAATGTAAAGATTTTATTTTTTTTTATTATTGTTAGTTTTTGTGTAATATTTTTTAAATGTGTGTTTTCGGCAAAGAAATCACAAACTAAGCAAAATTAAAATTATTGAAATTTGTTTCATTGAAAAAATTGTTTTTTTAAACACTCTGTATACTTGAAAATATTTTTCGGTAGTTAATATGTATAAATTTTGTATTAATTAAAAATCAATAACTGACTTTACTAACTCGTTGGAACATCCTGTATACAGAGTAAATCATTACTGAAAATTTCAATAATGACATATGAGTTCGGAAAAGTACTACTTTATAGACTATTTCAGCAAAATTTAATTTTTTATTTTACCACATTTGAATTTTGCAAATTACATATTTTAACAAACATTTTAATTTTTTTAACTTCTGGACTGCAATATACTAAAAAAATACTATAGCACTAAAGTTTGTATTTTTTTCTTTGTGTAATAAGTTTTTGTGTAATAATTTTTTTTAAAAGTATTTTTCGGTCAAAGAAATCAAAATATTCCAAAAACTAATCAATAAAAGTTTAGTTTAAAATCATTGAAATTCAAAACTACAACCAAAAATGCAAAAAACTTGGGGTGTTCTATTAAAAAAAATATGTTTGCATTATAGTTTATTTTTTAAACACTCTGTATACTTGAAAATATTTTTAGGTGGTGCAGAGGGTTAATACCTAAAAATTTTGTATACACATTTTTAAATACATGTTTTAACATTTCAGAACAACTTCTTGGAACACCCTGTATACGGAGTGAATCATTATTGAAATTAAAATAGTTTTGTGATTTGCCTCCATTTTCATTCTCTAATAGACATATTAAAGAAAGCGACGTCATCATGTCAAAAGATGACTAGATCAAATTTTGACTTTTAAAATTAAGTCTTTACCTGACGTCACAACAATCCCCAAAATCGATTAAAGTAAAAATTTTTGGTTAAAAACAGTATAAAGAGGGGAAATTACAACAAATTGTATGAAAAAATTCGTTTCATAAGACCTTGAAGCACTTATTCGTGATTACACCACTCGTTTGAATTCGTGCTTCAAAACTTGTTTTTTAGTATACTATTGTTCGAAAAAGTACTACTTTACTGACTATTTTGGGTTACTTTGTGGACCATATTTTTTTGCTTTATTACATCATTGTAAATTTTACATCCAATAACAATATATCGAAATATCAGAGGGGGTTTCTATTATTCCAGAAACGTATTCAAGTTTTTTTGTCAAAAGTTGACATATATAAAAATAATAATATAATAAATAAATAATAAATGCTTTAGACCTATTTTTTGTTTTTAAATTTCGATTAAAGTTATTGATATTTTTTGAAGAAATTAAGTTTATTTTTTTATATAGTAACAATAATAAAAAGTAGAATTTTACACACGTGTTAAGAACACGGACGACTTGACTAATAATGACATATGAGTCCGGAAAAGTACTACTTTACTGACTATTTTTCAGAAAAATGTAATTTTTCGCCTTATTACCATTGTGAATTTTGCAACAACTAAAATCACATTGATATATGAGAGGGGTTCCATTATTCCAGGACCGTATTTAACTTTTTCTGCTTTGAACAAGTTTTTTTTGCCAAGTTATTGATATTTTTTGATAAAAACATGCTTTAACTTCAATTCTTCTAACTCCCTTATTATTAATAATAAAAAAGTGAAATTTTGCACATGTGTAAAGAAACGTCAGCTCTATCGTTTGATATAAATTTTTGATTTAATTTCGTTATACAGAGTGTTTAATAATTGCGTTTCTAAAGCCTAATCACTCATCCGCATTTAGTTATGTTGGTGCACGTAAATGGAAGCGGTGGCCCATAAATACGGTCTAGGCTTCGACCAATCTGACCTATGTAAAGTTCATTGATGTATTATTATGTCGATATTGATCCCGGAACGACTTCCCCCAGACTTGTTTGAATAAAACCTTCTCTCTTTTATTGCCCGAAATTCTCTTCTCATCTAATTTTGTTGTTGATTTTTGAATGAAATTAAATATTCAAATAGGGACATGTTATCGCACCCACTTTCAACCCACACACCACCACGCATTTTGCGACATTGAAAATGATTTAAAAAAATGCGACACATTATTTCACCTTTTTCGCAATATTCCCCCTCGTAGTCGGGATTGCGACACTCGCAAATGGGCCCGCTATCAGTGGAAATACAGATGCCACCGTGTTGGCAAGGATCCCGAATTTCACAAGCATCACTGCTGTTGCCACGAAGGATCTGCAACAGAATACATAAAACAAAAACACATTCATTTTAAACCACTTTGTTTTTCAAATTTTATTCAAAAGACATGACACCAAATTTAATCACCTAATTTATACACTTTCTTCGCACCATTTACCCCTTTTCTGAGTTAATTAATAATAATAATAAAGCGGCTTAAGAAAAACTACTTAAGTATAACAGGAATTAAAACAGTAAGAAAATAACAAAGTTCAAAAAATGTATTTTTATCATTTTGTGAAAATTGTTCACTGAAAGTTTTTCTTTAAACAAATGAGAAGAATTATATAACTTTATTGTATTCTAGGAGAGAGATTTTTTAAATATTGCTGTTTTAAACTTTGGTAATCTTAATTCATTTTATGTTTTAACTGATTAATAAATGA